TAGCTGTACGCTTAAGATTTATTTGTTCATTATTACCAGTTTTATTTATTCTCTTAATAATAGGCGTCATGTTTATTGTGTTGTACAATATAAAAAAGCATCATGCATAACATCAACTTTTAAATTTTCATTACCGACAACGAACATTGCTAAAGTTGTTAAACATTCTATTATATCCGGTTCTTCAATTAAACGAAAAGTGTTTTTTAATTCTCTTTTTATTGATTCAGCTAAATCAAGTAATATGACAGTAAATAATTCAATAGATAATGAGGATGATTCTTGAATTTTTGGAGTCCAAAATAAATACTTACGATATGTAGATAGTAAATCAACGAATGAACCGTCAATTAATACAATGTGACAGACGAATACATTGTCACTTGATATAATGTTTCTGCCGATAATAGCTTCTTCTTCTTGCACATCTTTATAATCTAAGAAATATCAAAAAAATTCTTTTTTTTTTATGAAAAAAAAATCAAACAATCGTTTGACTTAAACTAGTGATGGAAAGAATTCTTTCCTATATTGAATACAGTAATTTAAAAATTATATTTACTTCAATAGGAACAACTCATATATTTATATTAGATAATGTCAAGTTGATAACTTTATAAGTTTTCAAACACTTTTTATCTTCATAATTGAGATTGTTACATTTGTTTCCGTGACTTTTTTTCTTAAACTTGTAAATCAATCAAACCGTTTTCTCTTATCGTTTTTTTTCAACAAAAATTTGATTTAAAAATCTCTTGTGATTAATTCAAATCTTAGATGAGTTCTATTAAAATGAATGGATGGAAAAAAGTGAGAACCTATTTTTATTTAATTTAAAACTACGTATAATACATCTTGTATACTTTATCTTGATAAACAAGATGACAAACTAGACGATATTGTATCAATTTCATTTAACATTTCAACTGAATAAAAACCTTGATGTTTGACAAAAAACGTTTGAATTTTTGCCTAGTATCTCATTCTGTGGAGAGGTGGCCTTAGAACAGATAAATTGTTGTCACAGAATGGTGTCTTTAATATATTTTATTTTATCAAAATAAAATCAAAATTAAACTACATTGAAATTTAAAGTTTACCTCAGAGTATTATTATTCGTATATAACGTCTGAATCCGTACAGCAGAATAGTAAATAATGAAAAGCATAAGGTTATATTCAATGTGTCATAAGCAATTATCACGTTACTTCGACGTTACACGTAATAAATACAGGATTATTTTCTATCCATTTGAGTTTTGTCCCATCTCATATGACTAATATGTAACAACGTGTTAAAACGTCCCACTGAAAAGAAGAGAAAAAAGGATTTATGAGAGAATGAAAGAACATAAATGAAATATTCGAGTGTATTCGATAGAACGAAAGGAGAAGCTATCATTAGTAATATGCCGATATTTTCTTTCTTTTCTTCTTACGATAAAATGAAATATAACATGTTACAATATTCGAAACATTTTAGTAATGATTAGACACGCATCAGTAATCACATCTATGTTGTAGGCAAAATTAGAATTCAGGCAAATCTAAAATTTGCCTAATGCAAATTGGAATTTTAATTTTGAGCAGACAATATTAGAATTCTAATATTGACTAGACATTCATCAGTAAAGACTGAAACTTCAGTTTTGTCTGGGCAAAATTAGAATTCGACTAAAGATAAATTCAGACAATCACGTGCTTATTAGAAGTAGCGTGGACTGAAAGAAAAGAGAAAAATTTAATCGTAGCGGTATAAATATAGATGTAGGTGTTACAATCGAATCAAAAAATGTCTGAATCGGATTCAACAACCATCCAAATAAATAATGGCGAATCGTTTTAGTATCAAGAATTAGAGAAACATATTAATTTCTTAGCTTCATATTGATCAGATGGTTTATTACCTGTTGTTTATGGCATTAATACTAGATTATCAATTATCACTAAAACAACTCCATATCAAGTTATATTCGTACAAGAATCTCGTTCTGATTCTAATCCTTGAAAACTTGTTAAAGAAAATGGTATTGTTGATGAAGAAGATTTACCAATACAATTGCTGATTCAGATGATGATATTATTCAACTTGTTCAACAATTATCTGATGATACTGTTGTAAATTGATTAGTGGATATTTCATCACCACATCCATCGTCAGATGAACCATCACAAGTGAAATATGATCTTGTATGAAAAGTAGCCACGGACCATTATTCGAATGTGGCAAATAAGAAAATGAAGCATTACCAATTTAGTATAATTAATGAAACACAAAAATTTAATTTAAATGATTGTGTCGGTATTAAGTTTCATACAGTTGATATACTAAACACTGATGCTAAACTTTTACCATGTTTAATTGTCGACAAAATTGAAAAAGATGAAAAAATTACGTTTAAACTAGTTTGTCAATATGGTAAATTAGAAAATTCATATTCAGTTGAACATCTTATTGATGTAAAACTGGCTTGTCCAGAAGAATTAAAACCAATTGTTCTTGATGATTTAAAAGATATAACATTTATTAGAACATGTAAATTTCATGTACGTGCATCGACAACCGGTCGCACTTGCGACTGTAAAAGTAAGTACGTTACAAAGCAATGTTTATACGAAAAACTTCTAGTTTTTTGTTCGACAAAATGTCATTCAAAATGAGTTGGTTGCACTAATATGGGTGAATAGATTAAAATGTTTTGTCTTGTAAATTGTTAAGCGAAGCGAAAAGATATTATTGAATAAAAAAAATATATTCTATTCAAACTTTAATTGTTTCAATTGTCTGAATCTATCTCTAGTCAAATTCTAATTTTGCTCGGGCAAAAGTGGAACTTCAGTTCTGATTGATGAATGTCTGGTCAATGTTAGAATTTCAATACTGATTAAGTAAATTTAAGATTTGCCTAAATTCTAATTTTGCTTACAACATCTGCGTACATCAACGTGTCACTACAATCATACAAACATTTGTGAAGAAATTAATGAAGGATAAGTTACATAGAGAGATGTGTGAGTATACAAATAAAATACATATAACAATTTATATTTATATCTACTCCATTTCATGAAAAAAAAGGTGAAGCAGCCGTAACTATGCCAGAGAAAACGTCCTTCCCACAGGAGTCCAGTCGGATTTGACGGCTAGCATAAACATAATGTGTTCTTATAAGAGGGTAATTTATTTTTCTTCCAACCTACTCTTGTTAACATTTAACAAAGAAGCATTCTTTCTTTTACGACATAGGCAGAGCACAATACATCTTTTTTGCAGTGTGGTCTGCTAATAATTATCAATGCTTTATTGATATCGAAGTTGCCCATCGAGATGTCAGTCATATAAGTAATATGATAGCGGCTTATATTTTTCAGATTGACATTGAAGTGGGTTATCATTTTCTTTCTAGTGCATTAACAGTAGTAATTTATGAAAAAATTTATTCTGATTTGTACGAGAAGATATATCAAGATTTGCTTGAGTTAGAACACATAAACTGGCATCTGTATTTTCAGAAAATTTGACAGACAAGTTTGAATACACAATATACATTTCTAAGTCTTAACTATTTGTATTTACCATGGTGGATATGTACCGATCGGTTCTGGCAAGAAAGTTTCAGAAATTGATGGCGGTTGGATGCACTCTCTTGAGTCTGAATCTGTCTCAGTTTTTAGTGTGACTTTCGACTAAATTCTCATTTTGTCAAGCGAGAAATGACCTCAAGTCATCAGACAAATCTGAAAACATATTGGTCCGATCTACTGCTTCTATATTTCCATTGTTTGCAAGAGTTTTTTTGCTCAATGATGATTTTTATGCATCTTTCCGAATATTTCCAATGAAATCCGCTTTTTCTGAAATCGATAATCATTGCCCTAGATGTTCTAGATCTAATAGGTTTTAGTAGGCTTTTCTCACAGCGCAAAATACCCTGTTAAAATTATGAATAATTTCATGTATCTCAAGAAAAGTTGAAGAAGATAAGGCAATGATATTTTATCAATTACTCTTACGCTATATCATTTCGCTATTCAGTTAATCATATTTAAGTGTGGTTCAATAATATTGAAGTGGTTTTCTATTGCAGAAACGGTCTCTCAGTAAGTATCAATCTGTTTGCTGCTATCTGCATCCTTATTGTTTCAGATAACAAAACTATTTTCAGCATTATGGATACACTTAGGAAGTTATCGGAAAACGATGGACACGAAAGAATGACGAATGACGGTAATCTCCAACTTCGACGTAGAAACTGTCGCCTACTAGTGACAGATTATGATGATCAACAAATGGGGTGTCCATTCATCGGCTATGCTCTAGAGCCAATGCTTCCGCTTGCTGACGCCTGTGTACCGTTAGTACCCATAATTCCTGACATTCTCACATATGTTTCAATGGCTCTAGAACGCACTCCACATAACCCGTCCGATAAGCTGACTCGTGATGAATCAGCTTCGATTCATCTCTACACGATGGAGTGGAGTGACGCACGCCTAAGTCTTTATTCATATCTCAACAGCACTCTTAAGACAGGTGATCAAAAAGACTTAGAACCGTGGCACAAATATCTCAAACTTTTTCTTACTGCCTTGGTTAAAATACCATGTTCGACAGCACAGGTTGTGTGGCGTGGTGTACGAAAGGATAGTACTAATGAATTTCCAAAAGGAGCTCGAATTACATGGTGGGCTTTCTCATCCACCACAAAATCATTAACCGTATTAGAAAGTGATCTCTATTTGGGTACAACAGGGGAGAGGACTCTATTTTCCATTGAAGTGTTAAATGGCAGGAATATAAGTGCTCATTCACACTTTCATGGCGAGGAAGAAATTCTACTATTGCCAGGAACATTCATGGAAGTACAATCATTATTAAATCCAGCGCCTGATCTGCATATCATTCATTTAAAACAAATGGTACCGAAGGAACCACTACTGGAACCTCCATTCGAAGGTAAATTGAACGTTGTCAACAGTTTATTTTGAATTGAAATATGTCTGTTCTCAGGTGCGCAGCTTTATCCAAAAATCGGGTAAGATTTATCTTGCTTCATTTAACAGAGTACATTTGTCGAGGGTCTATAGGCTCATAGGAGGATCGCACTATACTTTTTACTATACTGCTTTTAGAAAATGTGAGCATATATACAAGTCATTTTGTACCAATAGTATAAATCTATTCATATATTCAAGCTTCATGCTTATAACTTACTAATAAAGTTCTCAATTTTAATTGGAAACTGACGTTGAAAAACCAAGATCCATAGTCAACATCGTAAAAGATTATCAACAGACTATTCGATAATCTTTTCCTGGCTCCCTAATGTTCAAGAAATCCTCTCAAAGGCTCAAGAATCTAGATTTCTTCGCATAAAAAAAAATTATACGACTTTCTTATTAAAGATTATCTCTGATATTGATGCACCTTTTATGAAAAAATTTTAAAGATATTAATGTTACAAGAATAAAATCAGTTGAACAGAAATGAAGAGCTAATTATGAAGAATGAGAAAAAAAATCTCCTTTTTTTTGCCATAACCGAATTACTTTTGTCGCATTCTTCAAATTTATCAAGTCTTTTCAAGGTCATAAGTGAAAGAATCGTGATGATTTTTCTTAAATACTAGGTACTCTTTCTCCAAAAGTGTTGAATAACTCAGTAATATGATGAATTTTCACTCGCATACGAACTGCAACACATGTTGAAAATTACAACACGACGCAGAAAAAGAAAAATATTCACGTTTATTATGAAGAAACGATTAGCAACCTGAGAGTCGAATGGATATCACTAAGTAGCTTCGAAAAAATGATTTCGAAAAATATTGACTGCTGCTGCTCTGCACCACATACCCTAGTATTTGAAAACCAGATAAACTGTTACAACGAGAAAGTAATCACGAAGGTTTCTATATCAGCAATTAAAAAGTAACAAGTTGAGTAATCGAAACATATTTGACTTAGCAAAGCAGCCTTATCATTCAATTCCTTGAGTTAGGTTTTGATTTTCACTATTCATGATCGAGCATTGTTTATTATAGCTTTGAATAGAATAAGCCTAATGAATTTGATTGAACGGAATAGATTTCGATCAATTTTGATATAGTATCTGTAAGAATCTGATGAATTTTCGATTGATATAACTAACTGAATTTTTGTTGAAAATCTTCATCAGGATGTCAAGTCGTCGTTGGTATATCCGGAAAAGAGTTTTAATTCCAATGTGCGTATTGGTGATAATGTGCATTATAGCAGCTATTCTTGGTCCTGTTCTGGGAACGAAATATGGCCATAAAACGACAGGTATAGTTTTTATTATACTTTTGCATTAGATGTCTAGCTATGATTCATTCTGAAAACTGCGATTTACCGATTATACGTATGTCAACATATTGTTGAAATTGATTCACAGAAGTCACACGTATTGTATTTCTTGTGTATTTGATCATCTTTCTCCAAAAGTTTGTTTTTTTCTCATTATTCTCATTCGTAGCAACAGATTCATAAACCAAAACTATAGTATAGTTGTAACCTAAAGAGAAACGTAGGTTCAATGTTTCATCCAATTCAAAGATAACAACTGATTTCACAAAAGTGAAAATCCTTACTCTCCGAAAAAATTTACACATATGGGTGCGTTTTTGGACAATTTCTCTAATCACTTCTATTGAGTTCAGAAGTGTCAACTTAAAACGACCATACTTTAGCCATTGGAAGCTTTAGTCCTATTTTTGAGCTAGTGTCATTCAAAATTGATAAAAAATTTCAAAAACAGGTGTTCATAGTCAATTCAATTAACTGTATGAAGCAGGATATAACTCATTGAAAACAAAATGCTATA